CCTCTTACAAACACTAGTGAAACGAAAAACATTGATAAACCTTAGTGAAATTCATTCATACGCATTACTGAAAACCTCTTACATACACGGGTGAAAACATTGATCAACCTTAGTGAAATACATTCATATGCATAACTGAAAAACCTCTTACAAACACTAGTGAAAACACTTATCAACCTTAGTGATATACATTCATATGCATAACTGAAAAACCTCCTACAAACACTAGTGAAAACATTGATCAACCATTTGAATCCCATTGTTAAATAGGCTATATGGGATTTTTTCCCCTCAAGCAATTAAAGACCAGGCAATGGTCAGTGTTAGCTTATTTCACTTTCACATTGTAATTTCATTAATACAGTGTACTGTATATGGCGGTATTTTTAATTTTGCACTGCCTTGCGTTGCGTTTTAGGGTTAATGGAAAACTTATGAAAATTAACCATGGTATGTATTTCCGCAATGGAAAATTTATGGATAATGTCCTGGCAGAAAATTATCAGTACATTTTACTCATTTTTTTTCAGTATGTGCTACAGTTGCACAAATATTTTTAAATGTAAAATTTACCTAATGCCTTGATGAATGAATCCATAAAACATTTTTGATTCTAAGAGGACTAGGTATTGTAAATCATTAAATGCTTTGCAGCTTTCCGGCCTATTCAAAGCAGGTAACACTATTTACATGTAGTAATGATAAGTCAAATTAAAATGTTGTTTAAAATATGAATAGCTTCAGACAACTTGCCATTGAAGAGTTTGTGAGACGCGCCAAATTAAACGAAAGTGTTGACACAGCTTCCGTTTCATAGTGTTTGTAAGAGGCTTTTCAATAATTATGGCCTATACGGCCCCTCATAGAATTAAGAATTAAGGTGAAGAATTAGGTGTGAAACCATCAGGAACCCTTTAGTCTCCTCATGGCCATTTAATGATTTTTGACTTTTCAGTCGGAGTTAAATCTCTTTTTTTGGCTCATTTTTAGAGCCCGACCGATATGGGTTTTTTGGGGGCCGATGCCGATACCGATATTAGGGAGTAAAAAAAGACTGATACCGATATATCGGCCGATATTCTTTATGTGTAGGCTATATTATAGTACAGTATAGTCAAAAGTTTGGACACACTTCCCATTCGTGTGTCCAAACTTTTGACTGAAAACACATTTTTTGCAATGATAACTCAAATGTGGTGATCAAACACTTATAATGTTGTGACAAACATAGGCCTATGTAGTGGAGGCAGGGTATTAAACAATTTAACAATAAACTTTATTATTCAAAATGAGTCTGACATCAGTGCACTTAACAGTAAACTTCACTTCACTTATTATAAATAACTTAAATAACACAAATAGAACAAAATATATATAACTTGAATTAAGAAATTAAACAAGGTAACTGTGTAGGGCAAGCAAGCTACTGCCAAACCAACAGGGGCAGGTTTATGCAGGAAGCACAGCTTTTCCAAATGTAAACATCTAAAATGAATAAATAATAATAATTAATAATATTTTTTTTCACAAACTCTGTGTTGTGTATTTTCTGGTAATCAAATGAACATGCAGAACATTCGTATTTAAATCGTCTTTTTGCAGTTTAATATTCACAGACACAGTCTATATGTACTGACCTGTTTTTTATTTATTCATCAAAAAATAAGACAAATTCCATGAAATTCCGCATTATACAGTAAATTCCGTTTTTATGACTGGATTCCATTTCTAAGTCAAGCTTAACTTAGGGTATCATACTTTGCACAGAATTTACAGAATTGCTAATAAACGTTCACTTCACTCAAATCTCAAATGCACAGAATACAATTTGTTCCTGTAAATCAAACAGTAGAACATACTTCTAGAAACACAAGGTCATGGGTTTATTCACAAGGAACACATCAACTAATAAAATGTATAGCCTGAGTACAATGTAATATAGAGTGTGTAAATGTAAATACACTTACATTCTTCAGATATGGCCATATGGAGGTGATGACAATCGTAAAACCTAAGAAAAAACATTGCAATTACTAATACATATTACACGCATTTACTTTGTACTATACAAACAATGCAACTACCATTAATTTATCTACTACTAACGATAATATAATTGTAAATTGCAACAGCTGTACAGACAGATTCCTTCTTGCTACACCTTTACTATTTTTTATGAGGTTCAAAGGCATAAAATGTTGAATTGAACTGCACAGTGAACAATTAGTAGCCTGTCCTGACACTGGACGAACATCTTGCAGGTTACAGCAGGTTTTCAGCTCTAAAATGAATGGATACATTTACGTTCATTGAACCGGACAGCACAACACATCTGCACAGCAATGTTCACTGTAGGGCTGCACAATTAATCGAATTTCTAATCGTGATTACAATTACGGATGTCACAAATACGTAATTGTTCAAAGACTTACATTATTCTGCATGCTTAAGATAATAATAATAATAATAATAATAATAATAAGATGTGTGTGTGTGTGTGTGTGTATGTTTCTTTCTACAGGTTTATCTTAAGGGTTTTTTCCATTGTTTTCATTTTAGTACAACATTATAATACCATGCTTTTTTTAATTTAAAGTAAAAACCAAACCACTTGTAATTAATAATCACAATTACAATTTCAAGGGAATAATCGACAATTATGATTTTTGTCATAATCGTGCAGCCCTAGTTCACTGTCTGATCAGTAAGATCAAGTCAATTCAGGAATATGGGAATGAGAGAGTAAGAACATGTTTCTTACCAACACTGCTAAGGAACATGGTGAAATACATGACCCTGATGGAACTCCAGCGGCTTCTGTCTGCATCCCCATCACTTACAGAGGAAAAGACACTACTTATTAACATTCATGGATATACAAATTACAATCATAGCTCTCTATTAATTACACTTAAGCCTATTTAATTACAATGATTCCATGCATGTTATGTGTGTATTATGACAGGAGCTCATGAAAGATGTGACATTCATATCTTCACTTCACTCCCCCCAGTGAGCCTAAACGTTCACACTGACCTGACTTAATCTATTTAGAACTTATCATGTTGTGCATTAGTGACAGAAATGCCCTTGTGACATAACACACAGGCAACAAAAACTTTCAGTTCAGACATCATTTCAGAACAGAAAACAAGATCAGCCCTGCCAGACTGCGTCATTACAAATGCAATTATCAAAACGTACCTTATAATATCGCCTCTGAGAAGCGGAGTGTTTTCATCAGACTCCAAAAGTGACATTATTGGTGATTAAGCAGCTTGCGAAATGAAAAGACGACACGACTGAGTTCACTGAATGCCAGCTCTTTACATTGACATGCTCTTTATAATCAAGTTAACTTGACTGAAAACTGTCTGGATTTGCACAACACATATCTCGAAAACGCATTCAGGCCTCTGTATAATATGCCCATTTTAGCTGTTATAAGCACAGTAGTGTTAAGAGTAATTCGGCTCTTATTTCACGCGCAGTCTAAAGTCCATTGATGTTGTTGATTCAGCGCAAACTTCAATCATCTGAACTTTGTCACACATGAACAGTGAGAAACAGAAAACAACAGCGACAACCAGACATCAAAATAAAAGCCCCCTTACTATTCGTTTTCATTTTTTTTTATTATTGTATTTATTCATATTTTCATTTTCAGTGTATTTAATGCTAATTAATTTTTAAATTAGCAACATTAATGCAACATTTTAATTTATAAAAAACTTTATATAATATTTTTTCAGTGTATTTAATGCACATAAGTTTTTGTTTTAATTTGCAACATTATTGCAACATTTAATTTTTTTTTTAAAAACTATGCGTGTGTGTGTGTCCCCCTTACTATTCGTTTTCTTTTTTTTTTATTATTGTATTTATTCATATTTTCATTTTCAGTGTATTTAATGCTAATTAATTTTTAAATAACAAACATTAATGCAACATTTTAATTTATAAAAAACTTTATATAATATTTTTTCAGTGTATTTAATGTACATAAGTTTTTGTTTTAATTTGCAACATTATTGCAACATTTAATTTTTTTTTTTTAAACTATGCGTGTGTGTGTGTGTGTGTGTGTGTGTGTGTGTAGCAGGGGCAATTCTAGGATTTTCATGAGGGTATAATAATAAAAAACTGATAATAAATCAATAAACATTTAATTTTTTTTTTAAAAACTATGCGTGTGTGTGTGTGTGTGTGTGTGTGTGTGTGTGTGTGTAGCAGCGGCAATTCTAGGATTTTCATGAGGGTATAATAATAAAAAACTGATAATAAATAAATAAATAAAAAAAATGTTTGACTAATAGGGTAGGGTGGTATACTAAACGTATTGCAGTATTCCACTGTACTGCATAGATGGGTATAAGTTAAGGGCAGGACTTATATTATGAAAATGTATTGTCATATCTGTGTCCTTTTATGTCAGATTCTTAAATTGAATAAATTCAATCTGAATAAAAAAACATGTTGGCTATTAACAATCGAATGAAATCACTAGAAACAAAATCTATAGATAGATTTTGCATAAGTTATGTTAAGTTTAAATACAAAATTTTTATGTAGAAATATTAAATGATTGCAAAAATGAAATAATTAGCTACTAGTATATTGTAATTTGCTTAGCCAGTATTATAAATTAAACTCTTAGCATACCTGCTGTCTGTCAGTCTGTGTTAACAAAAGGAAAAAAATCACTCTGCTCAAATCTGCTCTTGACTAAACTTTTTCATATTTAATATGGATTAATATATAAATATAATCTATATCTATGACTTTATACATCATAGTATTTTGTTCCTGAATAGTAGCAGCTACTGTTAATTTTAGGCTAGCCTACCTGAAAAAGTTAAAACACAGTTTGTTTCATTTGTATCCTTGTGCTACTGCTAGTAACTTGTTAATTTATTACTGACCGTTTAATTGTCTTTATGTAACATTACTTATTAAAATGCAAGGTTACTTGAGTCAGAAACAATGAAAACAATAACTTTTTCTTGAGGTGTTTGTGAGGCGGTTTCATGTGCGCCCACTTTGGATGTGACCGTGAGCGCCCAGAAAACTAGTTTGGAGCGTGCAAGAACCGAATGGTTTAAAACTACTTAAAAAGACGTGCAAATGAAAAACTTTTGTGATGATGCAACACTGACCCAATTAGGCAAGTGACAGTCCTGTCAACTGAGCGAAAGTCTTGTATGGCAGTGTGCAGCAGCTATCTTAGTGCAGACGAGATGCGCTGATGTGAGGCAATTTTGAGAGTGAGAGCGAGAGCGAGAAGACGCCGTACAGCTGAACCACTCACGCTATTTTCAAATGACTGACTTAATCTGATATTCTGTGTGAATTTTTTTTGTAACTCATCTAACCTACATTGTATATTAAATAAATGTTTGCCGGAATTTTCCAAACGTGCGAAACCTGCGAACATGAGTAAAACCAAAATGCGCAATCCCGCACCGAGATTCAGGACATGATTAAACATATATTCTATTATATAGAGATTTGTAAAATACATTTCCATGCCTTTTCCAAAGCTTTCTGGGTTTTTCATGACCGTACGAACCCTGTAAATGGCTATTTTTATTTTTTTTTAAATCGTTTTGATGAAATTTCTGCTCCACTTTGTGTGGAGGTAGTGAGACGGGACAAAGTCCCTGTATGATATTAGGGTAGGCTATTCTATAGTCTTTGGATGGGAGAGAGCGCTCAAAACTCTTCTGATTAATTTAGTGGAACATTAATATAATATAGAATCATCCTCTGTAAAGAAGTGAGGCGTGAACATGTGAGAATTTACCGTGTGCGCAGTTGAAATGCGGCTAATAATTTCTGACTGGCACATAACTGAACAAATGAAAACGGGTTAAGGTGGGGCCCCCTACAAGGCGGGGCCCCTGGGCTGCAGCCCATTCAAGCCCAATGGTAAGTCCGGCCATAACATTTGAGTAATGAATAAGCCAAATACAAGTCTTCCTGATCTCTCTCTCTCACACACACACACACCTGCTTACTGTACACAAAATTTTAATGTTTGCATTTCTAGTACAAACCTCATTCTATGCTCGAGTACTGTCTATCACTGTCTTTAATCATTTCTGTGCATGACTGTATGGTAGTTAATGCCACATGCACTGTAATATGTTTTATATTGAAAGTTACATTTTCAAATGAAAATAGCAACATGATCGTTTAATAAAGTATACGTTCATATGTGTGAAGGGCAGCATTTTCGCTTGAGGAAACAGCTACACACACACACACACACACACACACACACACACAAACACACACACACACACGCACCTGTTTACTGTAGAAACACAAAATTTTACTGTTTGTATTTCTCGTACAAACCTCGTTCTTTAGCTCAACAAACCTCTTTCTATGCTCAAGTATGTCTGTCACTGTCTTTAATCATTTCTGTGCATGACTGTATGGTAAGGCTAGTTAATGCCACATGCACTGTAATATGTTTTATATTGAAAGTTAAATTTTCAAATGAAAATAGCAACATGATCGTTTTATAAAGTATGCATTCATATGTGTTAAGGGCTACATTTTCGCTGGAGGAAACAGCTGTGGTGTGATGAAGGGTGAACGGAAAGAAAACTTTGCAGTAGATGGGAAACTGATGCTGCCCCATGACAGTTTGTAAACTGTATTTATGACAAATGTTACGTCTCAAGTCTAGGGTCCAGGAGAATAACATAAATTAAAACGTTCTTTACACCGGACTGCTTGTTTTCTTTCTTTATTTACTGTCTTCTTTGTGTTCAATAGTAATAGTCAGCACACAAAAGGAAGCGAATGGGCTTCAGGGTTGGGTCAAGGCCAAAATAATATACAAACGGAGTAACTTATTCCCAAAGGAACTCACTACCCTAAAAAAAAGAAAAGACTAAACAAAAAAAGCACAGGGACTGAACTGACTCCCTGACTAAACAAAAACAGGAGTAAACTAATAGTTCACAAAAAAAGTGGCACCCAACCCCTACAGCGTCTGTGCTGAAGTGAAGTGATATTTACAGTATTTGCAATAGCTAGACGAAACACTCAGCACAAAAACTTTACAAAAGAAAAACACTGGGTGGGTGAGGAGAATAAGAAAATAAACAAAAACAGGAGTAAACTAATAGTTCACAAAAAAAGTGGCACCCAACCCCTACAGCGTCTGTGCTGAAGTGAAGTGATATTTACAGTATTTGCAATAGCTAGACGAAACACTCAGCACTCAGAAAAAAAAACAGTCTGCACAAAAACTTTACAAAAGAAAAACACTGGGTGGGTGAGGAGAATAAGAAAATAAATAACGCAATATTTACAAAAAGGCACTATACAGAGATTTAACTTCCTTATCAACAGTCACAACAATTTTAGTCAACAACACCAACCATCCCACATCCAGATCAGCATCTCTGCCTTTTTAAAAGACGCACAGTTCCAGCTCAGCCAACCATGGGGTACGTAGCGACATGTTCAATTAGGGTGGGACAACCTGCAATAGAGAGAGAGAGAGAGAGACAGACGCGTAGACACAACATATGTCTCAACGTAACACCCCAACCTGTAAAAGTTAAAATTCAATTTTGACAAAAACAAACAATCATCAACATCAAAATTTATCTCATGTTTTTTGAAAAATAACACACAGGGTGGTCGACTCCGGCTTCACTTTCTTGCAACAAGACCGCACCTACTCCTAACGCACTGGCATCCACCTCCAGTTTGAATGGCCTTGAAAAATCAAGGGCAGAGAGGACTAGGGCCCTACACAGGAGGAGGTCTTTGGCAGCATTAAAAGCGTTATCATACTCGTGACTCCAAATTAAAGCTTTGGAGCCGCAGCCGCTCAATAAATCTGTCAAAGGGAACACAACAGAGGATACATTTTTACAAAACCCTCGGTAATAGGCTATCCAACCATGCCAAGAAAACAGCACAACTATCTTTTAGACTTGAGGATGGGAAATTCACAATTACCTCAACTTTGGCACTAACAGTGCCAACCTGTCCTTGACCAACCTGCTTTCCCAGGTAAGTAACCACGGTTTTTCCGAATTCACAATTTTTTAGATTCACTGTTAAAGATGCTTTCGCCAAATGAGCAAACACTTCACGTAGGGTGCTCATGTGGTCACTCCATGAACTAGAATAAATTACTACATCAAGATATGCTTTGCAGTTTGCCACACCAGATAATACCTTCTACATCAACCTCTGGAAGTTTGCGGGAGCATTTCACATTCCAAAGGGCATGACAGAAGTTATCTGGTATTACAAATGCAGGGATCTCTGAGGCACGCTGTGTAAGTGGCACTTGCCAGTAACCCTTCAGTAGATCTAACTTGGTTACAAAGGATGAGGCACCAACACGATCGATACAGTCCTCCATCCTAGGAAACGGAAAAGAGGCTGGCTTGTGACACTATTCACCTTTCTGTAACCTGTACAAAACCTACAGGAACTATCCGGCTTTGGCACTAGGAGGTACAGCGAGCTCCACGGACTCGAACTGGGAACCGTTAAACCATGCGTAAGCAGGTAATCTACCTCCTTCCTCATCTCTTCTC